GTTCCCCCCCTCGTACTTCAAAGAACTTCGGAGGAGCTGGGAGGGGCGACCAAACAGTGAGCAATTGCCCAGTCAAGTGAGGACGGAGAAACGGTAGAAGAGGCGCAAAAGCAAAAAGAGAAAAGAAAAAAAAAAAAGAAAAAACCAGCAAGAAAGGCGCTGCTTCCAGCCGCCCTCCACATACAAATTTCCTCATTTTTATTTCCTCGGTTCTTCCCCCTTCCCTTCCCCTCCAATCCACTTAAAAACAAACAAACAAAAACACACACACACACACAGACGCATTACATACCCAAGACACCTGGCCTCACACACTACACACTTCTTCCCCAGGAGCAGCCCACCGCCTCGGCGATCTCCTCCTATTCCTTCCGCTTCTCTTGGTAGCACACATGGTTGTATCGGTTTGCGTGCTCCGCCTTGTGAAACTGCGTGCGGCAGTTGATGCCATACCAGCAATTTGGCCTCTGTGTGACGTTTTCGGGGAGTTCCTGGTTCGGCACCGCGCGCCTGTAGTGAAACAGCAATGCCGCAAAGAGGCTGTCGATGCACCCCTCGCAGAGGGGGGAATCCGCTGTCAGCTGCCCATTAACGCAGGTGATGTCCGGAACCCATTCCCCTGCCTCCATTTTCTGCAGGCACTCCCCCCACACCGTCTCCAGAGTAATGCCCTTGGTGGACAAATAACTGGACATAATATTCCGCTCCACGGCGTTGCCTGCAAAATACTTCTGGGGCAGTGTGGACATGGGAGGGAATTGCCGAAGGCGCACCAAACCGCCACGGTGAGCAGGGCAACCGCCCTCCCGTTCGTAGTAGAGGTTACAGTACGAGGCACCACAGAGCTGGCAACACTGGGGCCGTGGACACAGTGGCCGGTGTGGAAAGCTTCGGTTGCACCTTGGACAGTGCAAGTGTATCCCATTCGCGGGGCAGCGAAAGCCATCCTCACTAGATGCGCGCTGGCAATGTTGACAGCGTCCAATAGAGCGAGCGTGCCCGTGTCGACCTCCATTGTAGTTCGACGCAGAGACTTGATCGTCGTCCTCGGAGTAGTTACTTGCCCCGGTATCATCTTGACTGGAATAAGCGTCACTGTCGCTGCTGCTTCCGCTATAACGGGCGCGTTTTTTGACCACTTTGCCCCTCGACGGAATGGTGTCAAGTGCCGCAAATTCCGCCACCTCATCGCTGGTGCGAGAAAGCTGAGGGTTGGACTTGAGCAACTCCTCGACGCAGCTCTGTAGCTTGTGCGACGGGCGCACCTCCCAAACATCGGCGCGGCACTGGATGCACTTCTTATTACCCGCGTCTATCCAGCGGCTAATGCAGGCGCCACAAAAGACGTGAAGACACGGGAGTGCACTGCAGGGGCGGACGTACAAACCCTTGCACACCGGGCACGTCAACTCCTCCTGGAGCACGTCGGCCTGGATGCTGTCACTGACGCGCTGAAAGAGAAACTCAACGCTGGGGACGCCCGGCTGGGACGCCTTTGCCGGGTGTGTGAGGAACACGCGATCGCCGGACTGCAGCTCCACCGTCACGTCCTTCTCGATGCGCGTTCCGTTGATAAATGTCCCGTTGGCGGAGACGTCGCGGATGCTCACGGCCCGCGTGGCGGGGTTGACGGTCAACTCGCAGTGCCGCGCGGACACCGCGGGGACGTCGACGCGGCACTCCACCACGAGCTGGTTGGAGCGCCCCAGCACCAGGCTGCCGGCGTCGCGGTGGATGTCGATGGCGGCGAGCGTCGTCTCCCCCGTGGAGAGCGGGATGAGCCGCGCCACCAGCGGCCCGCTCACCGACGGCGCCACGCGCTCGAAGGCGGTTTCAACGGTGTCCTCCTCGGCCGTGGCATGCGGCTGCTCGACCTCCCACGCGCTGATGCGATCGAGGCCGCCCGGCGGAGGCGTGTCCGACGCCGCCGCGTTCCGGGCGCCTTCATTTCTTCTGTTTGGCGCGGCCTCGGCGTTGCGTGCGCGCTGCCCTTTTCGCACCATCCACGCCCACACACACACACACACACACACAGCACGCACGCCGCTCCCTCAACTTCCGGACGGCGTCGATTGCCTGCAGGCGCAGAACGAACTGCCGGGCCGGAGGGGCACAAAGCGGCGGAAACAAACAAAAAAAAGAAAGAGAAAAAGAGA